AACTCTGCAATAGAAACTCTTTACTGGAACAATAATGTTGGTGTCTGCTCCTCACTACGGAACTATTATTCACTGTCATGGTGACATTAACTGCTGATCGCTACCGCTGTTTCAGAGTCCTTCCCGAGTATAACGTTACATCGAAGAAAGACTTCTTTGGATATCGTATATTGTAATCATACAATGGCTTTACAATACATCTTAGAAACACTAACTATTTTAAATAATTTAAACACACCAAAATGTAATTGTTTATAAAGGCAACCACAAGCTCACACTATTGTAAAACCACATTAACGGAGTAGCTCGAGTTTGGATTAACCTGTGATATTATCCTGAGTGAGACTGGTTGAGATGATGAGCTCAATGCTCGTAGTTTCTCTTGTGAAAAAAAAAAAACCTTCACAAAAAACGTCTCTATAATGAATATTTATGTATTCCTCAGGAACCAGCAGGTTCTCAAATCTGTAAGAGTATAAAGTGAGGACTATAGGGAATGGCAATGTATGTGACATAACACTGATAACGTCAATAAAACATCCAAAATCCTCATGTTACCGGTCTAGTGTCATAGTTGTTTTTAATGTGTGCAATTATATCCAGCCTATAAATTAATCAGTCCGAGTTTACGCTCCAAGCAGTGTGGAGAACTTTGTCAGCTGTGGCAGAGTGCACATTCATGCTACACTATCTGTATTTACCGTCCATCGAGTTTAATATTAAAATCTAGACGTTTCGCTCACTCATCCCAATAGTCTACAAAATTCAGTTTAGTCTACATGTGCTGCACGTCACAACTCTGGATTTGAAAATAAAGTCATAATTATAAAATTGGTAAATACTGCACAATAAGACCTAAATGCATGTAAATCTGATTAAACGGAGTTATCGTTTGAGCAATAGCGTTATTGTCAATAATTTAAACCCACCAAAATCAAATCCTTAGGCTACTTAAGCAACATACCAGCTCTGGTGTAGAAAACAAATGTACCCACATGTGATCATGGTGGACAAACTCAAGTTCAATATACAATGCAAGTCTTACATAGCAGCTAAATTGACCAATTTGTGACTGAAGGAAAGAAATGATTTGTAAGTAAGAGTTTGCTGACATGTACAGAATATCATTGTGATTAGTGAAATAAAAGTCTGTAGACTTTAAAAGGAAATAAGATCAATGAAAACAGCTGTTGTATCACAAGTTAATCTGGTCATATCATGCTTTGCCACAGCTAACTTCAAGATGGGTTTACATATTTACAGTCTTTATGAAAGTATAAACTGTTCTGAAAAGATTTTGACGTCAGTATAATATCAATGTATGAAGACAACAAAAACATTTTGTAAAAGGATTTATTGGCATGACATGTACCTTATGTTAATGATTTGATTTTGGTGGGTCTAAATGCAAGTTAGAAATTAAGATAAGATAAGATATAAGATATTCCTTTATTTGTCCCACAATGGGGAAATTCCAATTCCAAATTACAGACATTATTTCTAAAATATGTTGTAAAGGTTTATGGTTACCATATATAATGACACAATTTAATCACATTTGACATGCTTTCAGGTTTTACTATTGTGCAGCATTTACAAATGTGACTGTGACAAGATTATCGCTTGATGATCCCTGTCCAAATTTACTTAAAAACCTAAAAAGAATTGACATGTGAATGAAACTCATACAGACTACCACCCCAACCCCCATACATGCACCTGTGCGTAGTTAACCAAACCTAGACGATTCTGTTCTGATCTTAGTTTGTACAGCTGGGCATCCAACTTCTGCCCCTATTGCAAAATAGGTAACAATATCTAATTTGGTTGAAAGACTTTGCTGACATGTATAGAATATAAATAAAAGATAAAGTCTGTAAACCTTATTATGAAACGTGATCAATGGTAGACAGATTGCATCACAAGTTAATCTGCTCATAATGGTTTGTCACAACTCTACTTGAAGATGGTATTAAACATATACTGACTGTTTCAATGTATAATACCACAATTCTATCACATCTTATAATCTCTGTCCCATTTATTCAAAATCCCATGTGAATCGGATTTGTATATCGTAGACCCACTACTGATTAAAGTTTTAACATTATCCAATTTCTCTTCCTATTGCAAAATGAGATTTGACAGTTGTCTAATTTGGATGAAAGAGTGTGCTGTTATGTGTATAATATCATTGTGATTGGTGAGATAAAAGTGTAGACGCGACATGATCGATGGTAAAATGTTGTAGGCTATCACCAGTTGATCTGGGCGTACCACGCTTTGCCACAGCTGACTCCACACTGCGTTAAACATATACTGCAGACTGTATGTTTCCTTACACACTGTGTGACAGTATAAACTCTTCTCAAATAGACTTGACATCAGATTAATAAGGATTCGTAAAACGACAGAAAGAACATTTTTTTAATTATTTATTGACATTTGCAGTGTTTGGAACAGGCATCGACACAGTCACCTACTGTGTCATTCTCTTCAAGCGTCCGGAGATCGCCGTCGCAAATAAAATTGATTCAAACTCCAGGTAACTCCGTTAATCTTATTAGACATCAGAACTGGAGTGTTTACAATGTTAAGGATTTCATTCTGGTTGGTTAAAATTATGAAAAGAAGTCAATTCAGTCAGTATTTCTAGTGTACAGATCTGCATCAATGCTCGGGAATATCACCAGTTAATTCAACCACCAGTTAAACCGACACACCGGCCAGAACACCAACTTAAGGCTAAGTAATGCTCAGAGGTTCACAATGAAGAAGAAGGTGATGGATAGTGCAGGTGGTTTAATATCCTCTTGCTGGCAATGAGGTCATGCGGTTTTTCTATAGCAAAGGAACAATAACAAATATACACAAATGAATAAGAATAAAGCTCTAAATCACTAATAAACATACTAAAGGAGTACTGAAATTACTACATCCCCAAAATAACAGTCCTGAAACACTCTTCACCTGACTTACTAGCATATTAACACACATATAAACATGGTAATATTTAAGTAACACTCACTGTAAGCATTACACTAGCGAGTCGGAGCGATAACAATAACGTAACATGTGACGTGACGTACACTTGATCAGAGGCAGGTGAGCTAAATGCTACAACTAGCTTAAACAGTGACCACATGGCAAGTCTGACAGCTACACATCAGAACAACAAAATAAACTATAGCTGCAGCAACGTAAACACAGTACATCAACAATATATCCGGACATACTCACTTTCCATCCACGCACAGACCACTTGCCGTGGCGTTAATTGTTAATTGAACCGTGAATCGCTCACTCTGCCGTCTCACCGGAGCACACACCTCTCTGACCAAGTACCGTCAGTTACGCTATATAACCAAAGGGGGGCGCTCTTATATGAGCTGACCAACACTACATCTATGAAATCACACACTAAACATAATATGTCCCAACTTTGGGGCCTTTTCTACACTAGTTGTTGCAACCATAGACATATATACATAGACGCTGCATCGACTGTGGAGCGACGTGCCTACAGGGCGGCCATCTTGGAACAGGGCTAGCAGAGGCAGCGGTGCATCAACCTACGAAGGAAAGAGAGAACTCCTCAATCTCAAAGTAGAATTAGTCGCTGAATTTTGGACCGATTTCCAAACGTATTGATTTGTTAAAAAACGTCACACATGTAGCTATGATACAGGGTGCTTGGATATTTTAAAAATGCTGGTTTTACTACCCAAATACAAATTCTGCTTAATGTTATCAGCAGACGAGCGTCTGACAGAAGATTCATGATTAACTTGAGCACAGCTTTTTTGTAATTGCAGCATTTCTTTATTCATTAACTTATTCACTTACTGTAGTTACTTACTGTATTTACTGCAAACAGAAATACACTGACAGCAGCCAGGATCATGTAAATTGTATGAAAACTGCAATGTGATGCTGGTTTGCATAAAGACTTTTAATGGTTTTAGTGTTTGCAGATATTTGAAGACATACAGAGAAAATTGGGGCCCTGAGAGGAAAACAGCTGCTCAGGAACTGAAACCTGTGTGACAAAATACACAATAATAGTCTTTAGATTAGATGAAAACTACTGTAGTTCATTTTTGTCATTATCACAACATTTGTCCTTTGTCTGTGTGTGACTGTGTCAGAAATAAGTCTGAATCAAATAGCATGCAGTGTGGTTTATTTGGATTTTTTGTTCTTGGTTTGCTATAATATTATTATTTCCAAATAAAATAAAAATGTAACAAAAACTAAACAATTTGTAACATATGACAGGCACAAGTTTATTTGTGATCATGGAGATATGTAGCTACCTTTCATCCCTAAATAACTACAGTGTATTTCTTGTTTTATTGTATCAAACTGTCAATTGATCATGAATTGTGGATTTAAATCCAGTCATAAGTCAGTAAATGTAGCATTGTGTGGTGTGTTTTATAATTTTTTAATCTGAGGACATTAATCAGTTCAGACAGTGCAGGGTCTCCTTTTGGAAACAGAAGAGAGAGAAACTTGACACTGACTGTCGTCCAGTGGTTTTATACCAGAAACTCATTTTTATTTTAGTTATTATATTTTTCACTCTCATATTATCATGGAGTTTATATCCACATAACTTGCAGTGTCTTAATTTATATAAATGTTTAGTATTTGCAATAATTTAATTGCTGCAACCAGATTGTGCTGTCTTTGGCCCTTTTATCAACAAGTGCATTTTATTGTGTTTTTAATATTTCGTAATAAAATATGAGGAACAGTTTTCTGGACTTTAATTCAGAGACAATTATTAATTTATTCACTAAAATACATATAAATAAAATGTAATGTAGCATATAAAAACTATGTATTAAAAAATCATCGTCATCATGTCAAATTCAACATAAAATGAATATATAATACAAATACTATGAATACTTAATGCACAGACTCTACCAGCCTGAAAGATGAGTACTGTAGGATTTTGTACAGCTGCTCAACCAAATTCAGTCACTGTGCAGCTCTCGAGCACAATAATAAACAGCAGAATCTTCAGTCTTCAGACTGTTCATCTGCAGATACACCTGCTGTCTGCTGTTGTCTTTGGAGATGGTAAACCGGCCTTGAACTGACTGAGAGTAGCGTTTCCCGTCATTATCATTTTCTACCCAGGCAATCCACTCCAGTCCTTTTCCAGGAGCCTGTCTGATCCAGGCCATATGGTAGTCACTGAATGTGAATCCAGAGGCTGTACAGGTCAATCTGTGAGATTCTCCAGGCCTTTTAACCACTGGTTCAGATTCTGTCAGAGTCTGACCATCAACACCTGTTAAACAAAGAAAGCTGTTCATGTCATGTGTTACATTGGCAGCACAAAATGAAAATATGTCAACTAAAGATCAGTGAAGATGTTCACCTGCCCAGCAGATAGTTAATAGCAGCAGTCCTGTCCTATAGTCCATCATGTTAAACTGTGTGTCCACTGTTCTCTGTCATCCTCTCTGCAGTCAGATAAGTAGAGGTGGAAGACATCTGAGTTTTGCATTGACTCCTCCTCACAGTGTGGAACTGGATTTGACTCAGATCTGAGTTACTGAGTAATTTTAATTACATTTTGACAGAAATATGACACCTTAACAAACGTTAATTATGTTATACTGTTGACTTCTTCTCAGTGTTCATAAGTCAAACCACTTTAAGGATATCAGGGGAATGAAAACCTCAGTAGGAATAACAATTAAGAGTCAATAGAAATAAATTGTCCACTCAGACATATAAACTCAAACAAAAGTTCCAGTAAAAGCTTTGTCACTGTCTGCAGTCAGATTATTAAAGGTTGAAGACAACTACGTTCTGCACTGACTCGTCCTCACAGGGAGGACAGAGTTTGGTCTTTAGTTTGTTGCACTTGAGAAATGAGAATGTAGGAGTTGTGACATCAGCCAAATAAATCTGATTCAGGCAAATCTGAATGTAATACTTGTTAAATTTCAATTTTATTATTCATTTTATAATAACACAAACTAAAACCAGAAACTGTCTATGAGAAACAAATAATATATGATGGCAACATTTTAAAAAAGTATTAATGTTAAGTAGAGGACTGGAACATAAAACGAGAAAATTTGATTTATGATCTGTTATGTGACTCTATGTGTTATCTGTATTTGTAAGATTAAAATAACTTTTTTTGGCGCATTAATTTCTCATGTTATTTAATTCTCTGTCCCTCAGGGAGTAACTGTCCAACACATACTCACTCACTGGGAGCATGGCTGATGGTGGTGACTGTATAGTTCAGTCACAACCTTATGGAAGTTCTGACAGTTTGTTTAAAGGCACAGTTTCTGAATACTGGCTGTGTGCATTTCTCTGTGGAATGAGCTTTTTGATACTTTCACAGTATTTATACAGCACCTACCTGCTTTATAATCACACAAGAAATGGAAATCTCCCTTTCCACAATATGGGACCTTTAATTATTGAAATATAAGAGAAAATGTTTCACTCTTGCCTTTCAAAATAAAATATGGGAATATTATTAACAAGTACATTGTGGTAGATAAGCACATTAAACCATAAAAAAGAGGAAGTGACAATCCACAGCCTCAGCTGGTGCTTTCACATTGTGTTTGTTTCTCTGTATGTGTAGGTACGATGCCACACTGGTTTTAAGATCTCCTGCTGCCCCCTTTTGGTGACTGTAAAAATTAGTTGTTTGAGGTTTTTGTAAAGCTTATTTGCTTACTTAGATGACTGTGGCTGTCAAATCCCTGGCCATTCAAACCTGCCAAAGAAACAGATGTTAAAGGACACAAGTGAGAACGAGAGAGAAATAAACAGCAGAACATTAAATGTGTGCATTCTCTGATCAGTATTGCAGCATGAAGCAACGTACAGGGCAGACAGAGTGCTGTCAGCAGTACAGACAGTTTGTCCATCATCTTGAGACTGAAGATGTGAACTCAGATGCTGCAGAAGTAAACCCTCTGAAAGCTCTGGATTTGCATTGGCAGTTTGTAAGGGGAGGGGCTTATTTGTATAATAGATTTGATATATATCAAATACATCTCCAAGATAAAAATACTTTGTGCTTTTGATTCTTAACTCTGCATATATGATATATAACACTGTGAACAGGGCCCTTAAGTATATTTAGCTTCTGATACTTATGTACTTTTACTTAAGTAAAAG